ACTGCTTCTGCATTCTTGCCGTGTCCGCTGATGTCATCTCAGACCAACCACCGCCTGATTTTGTTCGAGATTGTAGCAAGAGCCGAGCCGCTCTGCGGCTGCCAGGCTGTTCAGCTCATATCTTCTTTTGCACAAAACCCTAAAATGCCTTCCCATTTTTTTTTATCAGTTAGGGTTTGTTGAAGGACACAAATTCCACTATGAGTGAAGTGGAATAAGGGCTTTATGATAAGGATTAGACTTTTCACAGCTGTGGGAGAAATTGGGGAAGTGAACTGAAAATCAGTTCACTAAAAGTCAGTTTGCCAATCTGACCATTGCATTCAATGTTGCAAGACATTGCAAGACTAGTAATAACTGTAACTAGGTCTGGGGCCAGGTGTGGCAGAGGTAAAGGCAGGGGTCAGGGTTGAAGAAGGGCATTAGTCTATGAAGTAAGGACAGCTCATTGCACTGGTGAGAAACACCACTCATTCATGTGTAAAATGTCTAGGATTCTGCAAGTCCTGCCCTTTGAACTGTGAGATGCCTTTGAAAATGATACCCAAATGAAAATTGTCTCCAAACCCTTCTCCTCACAAAATCTTCCATATTTAAACACATTTTCTAGATATTTTTGAAACTTAATTCATTTATACATTTTAAAAAATAGAGCAGGATTTTAGCATACTGGTGAAGACACTCATGTCCCCTATCAGAATATCTGAGTTTGGTTCTCTGCCTTGGCTTCTGATTTCATTTTCCTGCCAGTGTAGCCCCTGGGAGGCAGCAAGTGATGGCTCAAGCAGTTGGGTTCCTAACACCTGCATGGGAGACCTGAATTGAGCTCTTGACTGCCAGCCCAGACCTGGCCATCGCCAGCATACTGGGGTAGTGAGCCAGCAGGTGGGAGCGCGCTCTTTCTCTTTCCCTGTGTGTGTGTGTGTGTGTGCATGCGCGCCTCTTAAATAAAATTTAAGATAGAAAAATAGACAAATCCTCCTTATTCTATTCCAGCTGTGCCATGGCACTCTTCTCTGATTTCGTGTGTTTGTTTTGCCTTTAAAGCCTTGTGTTCATTTTGTATTCTAGACCCATCGGGATTAGAAGAGGTTTTCCTTTGGCCAGACCGTGGTAGTGATTGCAGGCTCTCTGCTGGCTCTCAGACTGTTTGAATTTCACATTAAAGCAGAGCAGAGGATCCAGCAAGCACATCGGTAGCCCCAGCTCCCTTTCCCACTAGCTTCTGTGCAGGTCTGAGCAATGCTGAAGCTTCCAATGGCCGTGGGAAAGCCCTGAAGCCTATTATTTTGTTGGTGGGCACCCCTGTCTGCACAGCTGTGCCCTGCCACTGTCACTGTTCTTTACTTCCTTCCTTGTTCTGTGACCTCTCATTGCTCCAGGGAGAGACTACAAATGGCCCCTGGCCTGTGTGTTGAGAAGAGAGCAACTTTCATGTTCAACGCAGGCCAAAAGGGATTCCCTAGCGAGGGAACCGTGAATGCCAGACACATACTTCACCCCACTCAAAGACATATTCCAGCTTAGAGCAGTGTTGGCTACAATGTGTTCTCTAATCTTTTCTTATCCTTTGAGTGTGAGTTACATCGTGTGTGATCATAGGAAGCGCTAACCAGCTCGCCTGAGAGCTCTGGAGGGATTTCCCAGAAGGGATGACATTTCTTAAGTGATGTTTCTTTTTTTTTTTTTTAACAAAGACTCACAGCTTGTGAGCTCGAAACATACCAACATTGCTCTTTCAAACAGACATCAATTAAATATGCAGTTCGGTACTTTGGTAGTAAAAGTGATAGTGCTTTAGCAGCACATCCCTCTTTGTGCCTCTCTGTGACTCTCTGGGGCACGTCTGTAAGATCATCAGCCGGCAGGAAGAAAGAGCAAACGAACCCATATGGAAGGTTGAATCCATCATGAGTGGTGCAGTGATTTCGTCAACTGAGGCAATAAACTGCTCTCCTTGCTCTCAGTAACGAGGAGTCAGGCCCTGAGCAGTGAGGCCCCGGCCACCATCAGTGGTGCTCATGGCTCTGGACTGTGACTGGCAGCAGTGTGTGACTGATCAGGGTCCATCCCTCTTTCTGACGGCCATGCCGGCAGCTGCCTGGCTGTTGGAAGTTTGGCTGGCAGTAGAGCAGTAGCCAACAAAAGTGAACGGTGTTGTTAGCTGCAAGACCCAAAGTTCTTTGTCAGAAAGTTAAAGCCACCATCTGTGTATCGTGGGCCCATGTAGCCCAAATACCTGCACTCAGGATGGTTGCAGAGACTGGACATGAGTCAGCCTGTACCTCTGTAGCCCCTTTCCTCTCACCTCTGACTTTAGTTTCACCCCTCCCTATGTGTGTGCTGTACCCATGGCAAGTTTTCCAATCACTCCCTCAAGGCATTGCCCCTCTAATCAACCACTTCCTCTAAAAAAAAAAAAAAAAAAAAAAAAAAAAAATCAGCCTAAGAAATACATAATAGTTCTCAGAACTCGCATAACAAAGCTACTATTTGCCAAATATCATCTATGCGCCAAACATGTGCATAGGTATTTTTTTCCTCTGTAGTATCTCATTTAATTAAATTACTTGTAAAAGATTTATTTATTTGAAATTGATTATTTATTATAAAGAGGAAAGACAGAGTCAAAGAGATCTTCTATCCACTGGTTCATTCCACAGAAGAGCCAGGCTGAAGTCAGAAGCCAGGAGCCAAGAGCGTCATCTGGATCTCCCAGGTGGGTGGCAAGGGCTCAAGCACTTGGGCCATCCTCTGCTGCTTTCCCAGCCCATTAGCTGGGAGCTGGAATGGGAATGGAGCAGCCGGGACTCGAAGCGGCACCCATGGGAGATGCTGACATCACACACAGTGGTTTTACCCGCTACACCACAATGCCAGCCTCTTTAATTCTTAGGACAGCCTAGGAAACATGCATGGTTATTCTACTACATAGATGAGAAAGCTGATGGTCAGATGGTTGGGGAAGGCCTTCCAAGGAAGTGGAGAGAAACAATGATCTCACAATGTCTTGTGCAGCGGCGATTTGAGGGCGCTGGAGGACGGTGTCCTATGCTCAGCCCCCCTCTGAAATGGTCTGCTCTCTGCTCCATGTGGCACTCTCCCCTGACTGTGGTTTTCCTGTAGGTATCCATCTTCACCACTCGCAGCAGTGCCTTTTTCTCTACAAGCCACATCCCTTCATTGAGGAAATGTGCTTTTAAATGAAATCACTGGAACTGGGGTTCTTGCTGTCACGGTTAGAAACAGTGAATACTTGATTTGTGTTACAGATGAAGGTATACAGAGGATAAAGATGGCTTTGCTCTTTTTAGAGACAGCAGATTTCAAGTTCAATAAATCATTGTCACTTTCATTATTCCTAAGAATTTTTGCTTTTAAGCGCTTTTGACTCTGTGCCCTAGACAACAAAATACATCTAGAGTGGAAAGGGTAGGTTTTTTTGTTTGTTTTTGCATTATTGCTCCCCCTGGGCTTTTTTTTTTCTTAGAAACCAAGGTATACCACCCAAGGTGCTTTTTGGGGCATAATGTGTATAATCAAATCAATTATATCAGAGAGGGCCAGGGCTGTGGGTAGTAGGTTAAGTCTCTGCCTGAGGCACCGGCATTCAATACGCTCAAGTTCCAGTCCGGGCTGCTCCACTTCTGTTCCAGCTCTCTGCTGTGGCCTAGGAAAGCAATGGAAGACGGCCCAAGTGCTTGGGCTACTCCATCTGCTTGGGAGACCAGGAAGAAGCTCTTGGCTCCTGACTTCGGATCAGCCCAACTCCGGCTGTTGTGGCCATTATGGAGTGAACCAGTGGAAGGAGGACCTCTCTCTCTCTCTCTCTCTCTCTCTCTCTCTTTCTGCCTGTAACTCTACTTCTCAAATAAGTAAACAAAATCTTAAAAAAAAAATACTTCAGAGATGTATTTCACTTTCTTTAGAGCTCCAGTGTCTGGCATTTGGTGGACTTTAAACAGAAGTTGCTCACTTAGTGCATGAATAGTGAAATAATCAGTAGTCTTAGTGTATTTAATTTAGCTAAAAATGACAAATGAAATTGTATTGGCATATGGCTAGGTTTTTTTTTAGGTCTGCTTATTTATTGATCAATATAGTAGTATACATAAAAATGCCCTTAAGCTGAAAAATAAATTGTAGTTGATATAGTAGTGAAGAGTGTGGATCATGCAGCCATACTGCTGGGTGTCCAAATCCTAGCGCCACTGCTCACTGTGTGACTTCAGCAAGTTACTTAACCTCTCTGAGTTTGTTTCCTCTTTCTTTGTAATCTTGTGAGCTTGCCAAACACACATATTTATTATTCTTCTTTTTTTTTTTACCTAGAAACCTTTTATTTAAGGTATTCAAATGTAGGAACATAGTGATTCCCCCCCCCCCAATATGGCTAGTTTTGATGTAAGTTATTGACTATGAAACTTTGTTTAGAGAGAAAATTATTGTTGAATTATCCAAGAAAGCATAGCTGTAACCGGAAGGGGCAGGGAACATTTACCACCAGGCATGTCACTTGGAGCTGTGGTGAGGAGAGACTGCCTCTGGCAGGATGGTGAGCGAGGTCATGTCTCCACCTTCACCGAGTTACTTTCTCACACAGGGATACGTCCACAGCCTCCCTCCTATGTGTGTGCTGAATCTTCTGACTATAGAAGTGGGAGTTTCACCTGGCAGCAGAGATGGCCTGTCCCACTGTGGGTGCCTGAGTTTGAAGCCCCGCTCTGGCTCTGGCCTCCAGCTTCCTGCTAAGGGAGACCCTGGGAGACAATGATTGAGTTCCTGCCATCCTGGTGGGAGATCTGGATTAAGTTCTCACTCCCAGCGTTGGCCCAGCCCAGACTCGGCCAGTGTAGGCATTTGGGAAGTGAGGCAGCAAATCGGAGTCTCTCTTTCTCTGTCTCTCTCTTGCTCTCACATAAATGAACAGAATTAAAGTGTTTTTTTTTTCTTCTGGTTATAGTTTTCTTTTTCCCAGGAAACTCTCTTTTTCTTTTCAGAGTATCTCCTGGTGGTGCTCTCAGGAATGTCCTCCTTAAGTGGGAAAGCCCAAACAGTCCTGGGCCTTGTTGAGCCGAGCCAGCTGGGCCGCACCCTGACCCACGAACATCTGACCATGACCTTTGACTGCGCTTACTACCCGCCTCCGACATGCCATGAGGCTACCTCTAAGGAACCTATCATGATGAAAAACCTGTTCTGGATTCAGAAAAACCCTTATTCTCATAAGGAGAACCTGCAGTTGAAGGAGGAGACAGCGGCTGTGAGGGAAGAGCTACTGCATTTTAAAGCCCAGGGTGGAGGGGCCGTGGTGGAGAATACAACCTGCGGCATCGGCCGGGACGTGCGGACACTCCAGCAGCTTGCGGCGGAAACTGGCGTCCACATCATCGCTGGAGCCGGGTTTTACATAGACGCCACTCACTCCCCAGAGACCAGAGCCATGTCGGTGGAGCAGGTAAAAAGCCCTGCTACACTCTAACAGTGCGTGTGGATAATTGCAGCAACCAGAAATTCAGTTATGCCATTGACTCCCAGGTAGCTGGACTGCAACAGGAATTCGTTCAGAAATTTACTAGCTAAGATATCTGCCGGTTGGGACCCGAATTAGCAGCATTTCAGTTCATCAAGAAAGGAGTGTTGAGGAAGAGGGTCTTAAGGCCCTGGCCGTTGAAAAGCCCAGTGTGTTCATACCTAGATTGGCATATAGGGATCAGGGCTCAGCAGTGGTGCCACAGTCTGTTTTCCAGCATAAGCTGTGGTCATACAACCTCAATTTCCTATCCCCTCCCCCTGGATTTTATAATAACCAGCAATAAAAATTCACTGTAGGGTGAAACTTGGCAGGCAGAGGCTTGGCACATTTGCAAATCTGTTTTCTTTTTGCAAAACAAGAGAGATGGAAGAAAATTCATTCCCCGTTTTTTTTTGTCAAAATGTGATCTTCAGCAGGAATGGGCAGAACAAAGTGAATCTTGCAGGGACACAAAGAAAGAATAAGAGGTAAAGCTTTTTTACACAGGCAAGATCTGTCTTTCTAAACACATACGCATATGTCTATACCTGTTTGCTGAGACTTGTGGATATTCATACCTGTCTTCCATTGCCTGTTTGACAGACTTAAAATGTCACCCGCAGTCTTTGCAAAGGATCAGTTAATCCTTAAAATACTTTGTATTTCCAAAACTTATCTACATTATTTTCTAAGCAAGGCTTTATTTTTAAAATATATTTATGCTATTTGAAGACTAACACTGAAAACTGGGATTATACATTCGCCCAACTACTTTAGGCAGTAAATATACATGTGAACCCAAATGTGTAATTTTAGTATTATGTGCTGTGAAATTTCTATGTTGTACAGGATAGAGGACTGAATAAATAAGAGACATGAAGAATTACTTGATTCAGTGGCACCACTGTCTGTATTTTAGATGCTGCTCCTCAGGTTAAATCATAGGTCTTTTTATTTTCTCCTCAATCTGAATGCATTCTCATTAAATCACCCTACAGCTTCCTAAAGTGTGAATTTATTGTTAATAACCACAGTAAGGTATTGTAGAATCTTAGATTTATAATGCCTTCTTAAATTGGCAATTCGGCCAACAAAATGCCTTTGTCATTGGCCATTGAACAGTGAATGAATGTTGACTACATTTTTAAAAAATGTGTGACTAAATAACTTCATTCATACAGTGTGGTGAATCTATTTTGATAAATTTCACAATCCAAAAACTATGTTCATTCTTACGCTTCCTTAGCTTACTGATGTCCTTATTAATGAAATTCTCCATGGAGCTGATGGAACCGATATCAAGTGTGGTGTCATTGGAGAAATTGGTTGCTCCTGGCCTTTGACTGAGAGTGAGAAGAAGGTCCTTCAGGCAACAGCTCATGCCCAGTCTCAGCTTGGCTGTCCTGTTATTATCCATCCTGGGAGGAATCCACGTGCACCGTTTCAGATTATTCGAGTCTTACAAGAAGCAGGTGCAGACATTTCCAAATCAGTTATGTCACACCTTGATAGGTAAGCAAGCTACCGTGTCATTAGTGCATGCGTTAAATTCAAATATCATCATTGATCAGATCAATGAAATACAAACCATGTAGAGAAAACCACTAAAGACAGTACTCATACATGTTTACCATTAACATTAATAAAAGTCATTTTTGTATCCTGACTGTGTCAGATATTGCATAACTCATTTCCTATAATTTCCTTAGTCCTCTGTAACTACTTACAGTAGAGGTCACTGTCTACTGCACTTCTATGTGTCATGGTCTGGCTATCCAAGTAGCTGCCAATTCCACTTAGTGCTTGCCAGTAGTTGGAGTGATAAATTTATCTACAAATATAAACTCAAAGGTTTCATCTGGAGGAGAAAACCACAAATACAAGTGTTCACGTTTGTGTCACCTTATGTGGTTGGAGTAATCTGAATATGGGGAAATACAATTATAAAAAATAATAGTAATCAGTATAGCATTTGTTTGGTGGTATAATGTATTGGTTTCCTATGGATGCTATAATAAACTGGGTGCCCTAAAATCAGAAAATGTTTTCTCACAGTTCTAGAGACGGGAATCAAGGTGTTGGTGGAATCCTTCCTCCTCCGAAAGCAGTAGAGGAGAATCTTTGTCTCTTCCATTTTCTGTTAGCTCCAGGCATTCCTTGGCTTGTGGCTGCATAACTACAGTTCACACCTCTGCCTCCTGTCTGTCTCTGTACTCTCTTCTGTTTCTTATAAGGACATTTATCGTTGGATTTAGGACCCACCCAAAAAATCCATAATGGTCTCATCTCAAGATCTTTAAATTAATTAAATCTTCAAAAACTCCTTTCCCAAATAATGTCACTTCCAGAGATTTCAAGCACCAGAACACAGACATATTTTTGGTATCTACCATTCAACCCCTTCTGTACTATATTAGATACATACTGGCCAGCAAAACAATTGACTATATGAATAGATATTAACTGCTAGTAATGCTATGAACAAGCCTAACCATGTTGCTAAGGCTAGCCACAATAAGCCTTTAGACTGAATTTATTAGATGGTTAATACCCTATCAGTGAGACAAGCAACATATTCTCTTTTTAAAGATATTTGTTTATGTATTTATTTGAAAGGCATAGTAACAGAAAGAGAGGGAGAGACAGAGATCTCCCATCTGCTGATTTTACTCCTCAGGTGGCCATTATTAAGCTGGGGACTGGGCCAAACTGGAGCCAGAAACTCCATGTAAGTTTCCCATGTGGAATGCAGGGGCCCAAGTACTTGGGTCATCCACTACTGCTTTCCTAGGTGCATGAACAGGAAGAGGATCAGAAATTGACCAGCTAGGACTTGAGCCCCGCTGTAATATGGGCTAAGAGCAGGACAAGCGATGGCTTAGCCTGCTGTGCCACAATGCCAGCCCCTATGATTGCTTCAATCTTGCACTTTTTGGAAATAAAAGCTATATTAACAGCTTGATAAATCCTGATCATCATTTTTCTATTTAATAAACTAATAATCCTACAGAATATATTGACAAAATGCATCTACTTAGTTAATTTTTTTTTGACAGGCAGAGTGGACAGTGAGAGAGAGAAAGAGACAGAAAGAAAGGTCTTCCTTTGCCGTTGGTTCACCCCACAATGGCCACTGTGACCAGCACACCATGCTGATCCGAAACCAGGAGCCAGGTGCTTCTCCTGGTCTCCCATGCGGGTGCAGGGCCCAAGCACTTGGGCCATCCTCCACTGCACTCCTGGGCCATAGCAGAGAGCTGGCCTGGAAGAGGAGCAACCGGGACAGAATCCGGAGCCCCTACTGGGACTAGAACCTAGTGTGCCGGCGCCGCAAGGCGGAGGATTAGCCTATTGAGCTGTGGCGCCGGCCTATTTAATTTATTTATCTTTCTAAAGCTTTTATTTAATGAATGCAAATTTCATAGGTACAACTTTAGGAATATAGTCATTCTTCCCTCCATATCCACCCTCCTATCCCACCTCCTACTCCCTCTCTCATCCCATTCTTCATTAATATTTGTTTTTAATTAACTTTATATGCAGAAGACCAACTCTATACTAAGTAAATATTTCAACAGTTTGCACCCACACAGACACACATAAACATACAAATTACTGTTTGAGATCGGCGTCATGGCTCACTTGGCTAATTCTCCGCCTGCGGCGCAGGTACCCCAGGTTCTAGTCCCAGTTGAGGCGCTGGATTCTATCCCAGTTGCTCCTCTTCCAGGCCAGCTCTCTGCTATGGCCTGGGAATGCAGTGGAGGATGGCCCAAGTGCTTGGGCCCTGCACCTGCATGGGAGACCAGGAGGAAGCACCTGGCTTCGGATTGGCGCAATGCACCAGCTGTAACAGCCATTTGGGGGGTGAACCAACAGAAGGAAGACTTTTCTCTCTGTCTTTCTCTCTCTCTCTCTCACTGTCTGACTCTGCCTGTCAAAAAAAAAAGTACTGTTTGAGAACACGTTTTGCAGTTAATTCTCATAGTACAACTCATTAAGGACAAGGTTCTACATGAGGAGTAAGTTCACAGTGACCCTTGTTGTTAATTTAACGATTAACACTCTAATTTATGATGTCAGTAATCACCTGAGGCTCTTGCCATGCACTGCCAAGGCTATGAAAGCCTTTTGTGACCACAAACTCCATCAGTCTTTAGACAAGGCCATAAGCAAAATGGAAGTTCTCTCCTCCCTTCAGAGAAAAGTACATCCTTCTTTGATGGCCCCTTTTTCCATTTCAGTCTCACTCACAGAGATCCTTCATGTAGGATATTTTTTGCCACAGTGTCTTGGTTTTCCATGCCTGAAATGCTCTCATGGGCTTTTCAGCCAGATCTGAATGCCTTAAGGGCTAATTCTGAGGTCAGACTATTACTAAAAGTGATTGTCATTCTATGAGTCTGTTGTGTGAACTGCTTCCCATGTTGGATATTCCCTCCTTTTTAATTCTGTCTATTATTATTACCAGGCACTTGATGCTATTTATATGATCTCTTTAAGACTTAATCCTGGCTGGCGCTGCGGCTCAATAGGCTAATCCTCCACCTTGCGGCGCCGGCACACCGGGTTCTAGTCCTGGTCGGGGCGCCGGATTCTGTCCCGGTTGCCCCTCTTCCAGGACAGCTCTCTGCTGTGGCCAGGGAGTGCAGTGGAGGATGGCCCAAGTGCTTGGGCCCTGCACCCCATGGGAGACCAGGAAAAGCACCTGGCTCCTGGCTTTGGATCAGCGCAGTGCGCCAGCCGCAGTGCACCAGCCGCGGCAGCCATTAGAGGGTGAACCAATGGCAAAGGAAGACCTTTCTCTCTGTCTCTCTCTCACTGTCCACTCTGCCTGTCAAAAAATAAAAAATTTAAAAAAAGACTTAATCCTGTCTATATGTTGACTTTAACACTTAATATGATACTTTATCAATTAAGATGGCATTTTTACCAGCAATTTTAATGGGATTTGAAGTCCCATGACAAGTTTTTTAAAGTGTACTCTTATAAGTAATTCCATAGGACTGTATGTAGAACTATACAGCTTTATAGTTAAAACTTCTTCATCCCTCTCTTATTCCTCCTTATTTTTTACTAAGATCTATTTTAATTGACTTTATATACATATGATTAACTCTGTTAAGTAAATAGTTCAACATGTAGTATGAGAAGAGAAAATAAAAAATAAAAAATGAAAAAATATAAAAATATTTTCCTCAACAGTCAAGACAAAGGCTGTTCAAGTCATTGTTTCTCAAAGTGTCAATTTCACTTTTACAGCTTTCATTTTAGGTGGGCTATTAGTTCTCACAGATCAGGGAGAACATATAGTATAGGCCCCTTTGGGACTGGCTTATTTCACTATGCATGAAGTTTTCTAGATTGATCCATTTTGTTGCAAATGACCGGATTTCATTTTTTTAACCACTGTGTAATATTCCATAATATACATATCCCATAATTTCTTTATCCAGTCTTTGGTTGGTGGGCATTTAGGTTGATTCCATGTCAAAACTATTGTGAATTGAGCTGCAATAAACATGGAGGTACAGATAGCTGTTTTGTTTACTGATTTCATTTCCTTTGGATCAATTCCAAGGAGTGGGATTGCTGGGTCATATGGTAGGACTATGTTCAGATTTCTGAGGAATCTCCAAACTGTCTTCCATAGTGGTTTTACCAGTTTGCATTCCCACCAACAGTGGATTAGGGTACCTTTTTCCCCACATCCTCACCAACATTTGTTGTTTGTGGATTTCTGTGTGAAAGCCATTCTAACTGGGGTGAGGTGAAACCTCATTGTGGTTTTGATTTGCATCTCCCTGACAGCTAGTGATCCTGAACATTTTTCCATGTGTCTGTTAGCCGTTTGGATATCCTCTTTTGAAAAACATCTGTTTAAGTCCTTGGCCCATCTATTAAGTGGGTTGTTTATTTTGTTGTTGTGGATTTTCTTATTTTTTTTAAGATTTATTTATTTATTTGGGAGGTAGAGTCACAGACAGTGACAGGGAGAGACAGAGGGAAAGGTCCTCCCTCTGCTTCTTTATCTCTTTGTAGATTCTGGCTATGAATCCTTTATCAGTTGTATCATTTGCAAATAATTTCACCCATTCTGTTGGTTGCCTCTTCACTTTCACTTTTTCTTTTGCTGTACAGAAGCTTCTCAATTTGATGTAATCCCATTTGTTAATTTTGTATCCCACAAATTTTGGTATGTTGTATTGCCATCTTCATTTGTTTCCAGAAATTTTTTGATTTCTCTGTTGATATCTTCTATGACCCACTCACTGTTCATTCAGAAACATGTTGTTCATTCTCCATGTGTTTGCATGTGATATATAGATTCTTGAGTTATTGATTTCCAGCTTTATTGCATTGTGGTCTGAGAAGGTGCATGGTATGATTTAGATTTTTTTGACTTTGCTGAGACTCACTTTGTGGCCTATCATGTGGTCGGTCCTAGAGAAAGTTCAATGCACTGGAGAAATAAAGTGTATTCTGTGGCTGTAGGGTGGAAGGCACTATAG